GGATACGGACCACTACCCGAATGCTCCTCGAGCGAGTAATTATCACGAGCCCAAATCAAGTACGCACGCAATGCTCGGGTCCAATCTATGAGCCGCATTCAAATATCGTCATTGGGGTGTACTGCGACTGATCTCAGCATTCCTTTTGGCGCCAATGACGTTACGTCATCAAATTTTGCAAAGGAGAGATTAAATGAAAATGATCGCTTTTGCCCTTGAAACTACACCGCAACAAAGAAGTTTCTTGGCCAGTGGCGTTACCTGCGAGTATCCTTGAGTCCCACTAGTGCCAGTAAGCTTGGGTAAAGTGAAAAAAAAAACATTCCAGTTGAATATCGTTGCACCGCTCCTTTAAAAGGCTGAGCTCGCCCTTCCAGCTTCTGCACGTTGGCTTAGTTCTATATTTAGCATGTCTCCATGAAGCACCGGTCGTTACGTTGCACCGCGCGTAACTCAGCTGTCGGCGGGAACGCGGGGTTGAAACGGGGGGATCGGTGGCCGAGGGAGTTCGAAGAAGACGACGAGCTGAATGGCCGCGTTGGAAATGGGCTCCATAAAGTAAATCTCAACGGCTAAGCCTAGCCGGGAATATTCTGAAACCATTTCTGCATCTGCCCCCTCTGCACCAGGTACAACGGAGTACAAGATTTTACTGCTACCTCTTCCCCACGGCAAGCTGCTTGAAAACTGACTGATTCTTCATGGGGACCCATCAGCCCGGCCATACCGCATCGACGATTTTGGTCCTGCTTTGAAGAAAATCATCACCCCAAACGAGCTAGCTTCGCTTGGGGCCTTCCAGTACAATCATGTGTGGCTGCTCACAGTGCGTTCTGCCCACAAAAAAAAAAAGAAAGATTGTTGCAGCTCCGAGAGATCAAGGTAAAGAACGAGACATGTTTGATAATAGACGGGAGCAAAACTACGCTGTCCATGAAGGTGCACTGGGTTCCAACCAGCGTCCCAGATGCAAACGTAGCAAGTGCTTTTTCTACGTTTGGAAAAATAAAAGACATCGTTCGAGAAAAGTGGCACTGCTCCGGCTTCGAAGAAGTAGAGACGACCGCAAGAATACTGTCAATTGAATTGAACGAAGGGGTGACTGCGGACAGCTTGCCGCATCAACTCAAGATTCTGGGAACCGCCGTCCTCGTCTCTGTGACTGGCAGAGCACCGCAGTGTCTGCGATGCGGGCAAGTCGGACACGTCCGAGGCCAGTGCCGCGCTCCCTGGTGTAGCGCATGCCGAAAATTCGGCTACGATCCCGAAGACTGTATTTAAACGTACGCCAACCGACCGGCTGCATCTCTCCAGATTCCTAAAGAGTACTTGATGGACGCAGAAGAAGCAGCACAAACAGAGGTTTCGGCAGAGGTCAGCACCGCTCACAGCGCAGCCCACGTAGAGGCAGCCTCACGGACTGAGAAGTGCGAAAACAGGTCGGCGTCGTCGCGCTCTGCAACCAAGGAGACAGTGAGCAATGTTGTCATCACCAAATCTTTCAGTGCTCTTGTCCCTGAAGACCAAGCTGAAGAGCCAATGAAGTTAGAGGAAGAGGCGTCCGACATGACTGAAACCAGCGACAAGGAAATGCTTGGGAAAAGAAAGGGAGAAGAAATTATGTGCACGTCAGATCCTGGCTCCACATCTCAAGGGGAGAGGGCAGAATCAAAGAAGAGGAGGAAGAGGTGAACGAATTCTTTGTCTCCCAAAGCTCCCATCACCGAGCAGGGTTTGATGCTGTCCGGCCACGAGGACCTGAAGAGTCAATTAGTTGGTGTACTTTGAAATTCCTACGGCTGCACAACAAAAGGGACGCTGACTGAGCTGACGGAGATAATCATGGTTTTAGGCCTACATGCGCTATGGCGGTCAAGAGTAGACATGACAGACTGCAGACTGAACCCTAAACCTGCGTGGCGACACTTTGCTAACAAATTGGAATGGACTATTAGAACTTTAGAACCAGTTGAAATATAAAATGATCTGAGAAACACCCTACTGAAAGGCCATAAGGTAGCACTAAATTTTTATGCTTTGAGAAGACTATCCGTCGCCTTCGCACGTGCCTCACTCTAATATATTTTTAAGATCCTCGAGTGTATACACATCCAGAGCTGAGGCTATTGCACTATTCAGCAATTTTGTTTAACTGCTTTACTTTGCACCTGGGTCACTGAACGCAATGTCTAAATTATGTAACGTTCTTCTTTTGCTCTGACCATATGTATATACCTCATTTTTTTCTTTCTTAGTACTTATGTTTTATACCGGTAAATAAACATTTACTAAAAAAGGATCGGTGGCCGACGGGACGACGAGCTGAATTGCCGCGTTGGAAATGGGCTCCGTAAAGGAAATCTCAACGGCTAAGCCTAGCCGGGAATATTCTGAAACCATTTCTGCTTCTGCCCCCTCTGCACCAAGTACAACGGAGTACAAGATCTTACTGCCACCTCTTCCTAACGGCAAGCTGCTTGAAAACTCACTGGTTCTTCATGGGGACCCATCAGCCCGGCCATACCGCATCGACGATTTCGGTCCTGGTTTGAAGAAAATCATCAACACGAAGGAGCTAGCTTCGCTTGGGGCCTTCCAGTACAATCGTGTGGCTGCTCAAAGTGCGTTCTGCCAAAGGAAAAAAAAGAATGCTGCAGCTCCGAGATATCCAAGTAAAGAGCAAGACATGTTTGATAATAGACGGGAGCAAGACTGCGCTGTCCATGAAGGTGCACTGGGTTCCAACTAGCGTCCCAGATGCAAACGTAGCAAGTGCTTTTTCTACGTTTGGAAAAATAAAAAAGCATCGATCGAGACAAGTGGCACTACTCCGGCTTCGAAGAAGTAGAGACGACCACAAGAATACTGTCAATTGAATTGAACGAAGGGGTGACTGCGGAAAGCTTGCCGCATCAGCTCAAGATTCTGGGAACCGCCGTCCTTGTTTACGTGCCTGGCAGAGCACCGCAACGTCTGTGATGTAGGCAAGTCGGACACGTCCGAGGCCAGTGCCGCGCTCCCTGGTGAGGCGCATGCCCAAAAAAACCACACTCCCGAAGACTGCATTCAAACGTATGCCAACCGAGCGGCCGCATCTCTCCAGATTCCTATAGAATACTTGATGGACGCAGAAGAAACAGCACAAATAGAGGTTTCGGCAGAGGTCAGCACCGCTCACTGCGCAGCCCACGTAGGGGCAGCCTCACGGACTGAGAAGTGCGAAAACAGGTCGGCGTCGTCACGCTCTGCAACTAAGGAGACAGTGAGGAATGTTGTCATCACCAACTCTTTCAGTGCTCTTGTCCCTGAAGACCAAGCTGAAGAGCCAATGAAGTTAGAGGAAGAGGCGTCCGAAATCGATGAAACCAGCGACAAAGAAATGCTTGGGAAAAGAAAGGGAGAAGAAATTCTGTGCACGTTAGATCATGGCTTCGCATCTCAAGGGGAGAGGGCAGAGTCAAAGAGGACGAGGAAGAGGCGAACGAAATCTTCATCTCCCAAAACTCCCATCACCGAGCAGGATTCCACCCTGTCCGGCCACGAGGACCTGAAGAGTGAATTAGTTGGCGTACTTTGAAATTCTTACGGCTGCACGACAAAAGGGACGCTAACGGACCTGACGGAGATAATCATGGTTTTAGGCCTACATGCGCTATTGAGGTCAAAAGTAGACATGACAGAGTGCACACTGAATCCCAAACCTGCGTGGCGACACTTTGCTGACAAATTGGACTGGGCTATTAGAACTTTAGAACCAGTTGAAATAGAAAAGGATCTCAGAAACCCACTAGTGAAAGGCAGAATGTGGCACTAAATTTGTATGCTTTGAGAAGACTATCCGTACGCTTCGCACGTTCCTCACTCTAATATAATTTTAAGGTCTTCGAGTGTAATACACACCCAGAGCTGAGGTAATTCCACTCTTTAACAATGTTGTAACCTTTAACTGATTTACTTTGCACCTGGGTCATTGAATGCAATGTTTAAATTATGTAACGTTCTTTTTTTTTTGCCCTTACATATGTATATACCTAATTTTTTTTCATTCTTGCTACTTATGTTTTCAAACTGTAAATAAACATTTGTTAAAAAAAAGGATCGGTGGCCGAGTGGATTAGCGCACACCAGCTCGGAGCACGTGGAGCGAAAGCTCGCGCTGCAAAACCCAGTGATCCTGCGTTCAATCCCCACCCCTGCGGTCAATCCCCATCGTGCGGTCGTGTATCACTACTGCGTAGAGCACGTTAAAAAACCCAGGCTAGCGGTTGTACTGCACTGGCTAAACTGCTCGTCTACAGCCAGTGACTCGTCGCAACTTTGACGTCGCAACTCCACGCAACCCTGAATTATTGAGGTTGAAGCGCTCGCACTATGAGCGGCACAAATTGTTTTAGAGCTCAGGGTGCGCAGTTTTTTTTAGTAATTTTCTTATCTCCTCAACTTTATAGAGCTTCCGTAACGGGCCCTGCATTGTTTCTTCGGCGAACTGTGTTCTGTTGATCAGTTCCCGGGATTCTACGACAGTATAATTAGATTGTTTTACCGGGCCCATACATACATACATTTATCCTTATGTTGAAGATTCTTCAAATATTACCTAAAACAAAACAAAAAATTAACTACAAAAAAAAAAGAAGTTTTATGATTTTACTTGATATTCTGTAATTTTAAATGAATCGACGGATATAATAAATTTCAAATACACCTTGGAACGCATATGTTCCAGTGTAACAGGTATACGTGTTCATGAACTTTTCAGCAACTCGACATTTGCATAATTCGCGGAAGCTACCCGACTGAGAGACACAGGGCGATTGTTCTTAGTCCCTCCAGAGGTTCCTACATTCTCTGTCCCGGCATATAGCTTAGATTTTTAATTTTATCTCTTCACGCAACAAACCATGAAGCACCTCCACTCCGCAGATAAACGGAAGAAATATAATGTTAGAATTAGATGGTTTATATGTACCATTATTTATAAAAGAGGCAAAGCAAAAACATCGACAGAAATAAACTATACTTCGTATCACCTTAGCATGGACTAACCGCGAATGCTGTGCTAGCGCGAGCGGCTGGCCTTGACTGCCTTGACTGGAGCACTCGCTGCACGAGCGCTCGTTCAGCCGCCGAGGCTTCATTCGAAGCAACTAGCTCGCGCTTTTAGCACGCGCGGCTAACAATAGTCCATACTAAGGTTAGACGAAGTCACTTTTCGACCTTTATTCGTCTTCGACCTTTCGATCGACGATTTCCCGCCAACGCTGAAAAGTGCCCAGGCTGGCGGCACTTCCCCCGCATACGATGAGCAACAGAGGTCCCCCCGTGCGGGATAGCTTCCCTTCGGCGTACAACCTCGCCGCCAGTCCGCTGTAGAGCGCTGCCAGAGTGGCTCCGCAAGAGGGCTCCACCAGCATCCTGTGGTCGTCTAAAAACGGGAATCGGAAAGAAACAAGATAATTAGGCGTCTTCGTGCAGCTATACGCCATACCTCGCCAAACCTCACTGATGAGGGCCCTAACTTACCCTCACTCACCCTCATCTTCACAGGTAAGGTGAGGATGAGTGAGTTTCTGAACCAGGAAACTTCATGAGTGTGAGGGTGAGTGAGGGCCCTCACCAGTGAGGTTTGTCGTTCTTAGTCGTTCGACAAGTGCAATGGAGACAAAACCACCTTCTGTCTCAGCACTGATTGAACACGCTTGAAAGCGGCCGCCAAACGCCGGACGCCAAAGTTCCGCATTCTTATGTGTTCGATAAGGGCAGCTTTTGTCTCCTCTGCATTGATCGAACGCGTCCCAACACGAACGCTAAACGCCGGACGCTGAAGTTCCGCATTCTTACGTGTTCGACAAGTGCAGTGGAAACAAAGGCACCTTTTGCCTCCACAGCACTGATAAAACGCGTTCGAACGCGAATGCCAAACGCCGGACGCTGAAGTTCCCCGTTCTTACGTGTTCGACAAGTGCAGTGGAGATAAAGGCAGCTTTTGTCTCCACTTCACTGTCAAACGCGTCCGAACGCGAACGCCAAACGCCGCACGCTGAAGTTCCGCGTTATTACGTGTTCAACAAGTGCAGTGGAGATTAGGGCAGCGTTTGTCTCCACTTCACTGTCAAACGCGTCCAAACGCGAACGCCAAACGCCGAACGCTGAAGGTACGCGTTCTTACGTGTTCGACAAGTGCAATGGATATAAGGGCAGCTTTTGTCTGCACTTCACTGTCAAATGCGTCCAAACGCGAACGCCAAACGCCGGACGCTGAAGTTCCGCGTTCTTACGTGTTCGACAAGTGCAGTGGAGATCAGGGCAGCTTTTGTCTCCACTTCACTGTCAAACGCGTCCGAACGCGAACGCCAAACGCCGGACGCTGAAGTTCCCCGTTCTTACGTGTTCGACAACTGCAGTGGAGATAAGGGCAGCTTTTGTCTCCACTTCACTGTCAAACGCGTCCGAACGCGAATGCCAAACGCCGGACGCTGAAGTTCCGCGTTATTACGTGTTCGACAAGTGCAGAGGAGATCAGGGCAGCTTTTGTCTCCACTTCACTGTCAAATGCGTCCGAACGCGAACGCCAAACGCCGGACGCTGAAGTTCCGCGTTCTTACGTGTTCGACAAGTGCAGTGGAGATCAGGGCAACTTTTGTCTCCACTTCACTGTCAAACGCGTCCAAACGCGAACGCCAAACGCCGGACGCTGAAGTTACGCGTTCTTACGTGTTCGACAAGTGCAATGGATATAAGGGCAGCTTTTGTCTCCACTTCACTGTCAAACGCGTCCGAACGCGAACGCCAAACGCCGGACGCTGAAGTTCCGCGTTCTTACGTGTTCGACAAGTGCAGTGGAGATCAGGGCAGCTTTTGTCTCCACTTCACTGTCAAACGCGTCCGAACGCGAACGCCAAGCGCCGGACGCTGAAGTTCCGCGTTCTTACGTGTTCGACAAGTGCAGTGGAGATCAAGGCAGCTTTTGTCTCCACTTCACTGTCAAACGCGTCCGAACACGAACGCCAAACACCGGACGCCAAAGTTCCGCGTTCTTACGTGTTCGACAAGTGCAGTGGAGATAAGGGCAGCATTTGTCTCCACTTCACTGTCAAACGCGTCCGAACGCGAACGCCAAACGCCGGACGCTGAAGTTCCGCGTTATTACGTGTTGGACAAGTGCAGTGGAGATCAGGGCAGCTTTTGTCTCCACTTCACTGTCAAACGCGTCCGAACGCGAACGCCAAACGCCGGACGCTGAAGTTCCGCGTTCTTACGTGTTCGACAAGTGCAGTGGAGATCAGAGCAGCTTTCGTCTCCACTTCACTGTCAAACGCCTCCAAACGCGAACGCCAAACGCCGGACGCTGAAGTTACGCGTTCTTACGTGTTCGACAAGTGCAATGGATATAAGGGCAGCTTTTGTCTCCACTTCACTGCCAAACGCGTCCGAACGCGAACGCCAAACGTCGGACGCTGAAGTTCCACGTTCTTACGTGTTCGACAAGTGCAGTGGAGATCAGGGCAGCTTTTGTCTCCACTTCACTGTCAAACGCGTCCAAACGCGAACGCCAAACGCCGGACGCTGAAGTTACGCGTTCTTACGTGTTCGACAAGTGCAATGGATATAAGGGCAGCTTTTGTCTCCACTTCACTGTCAAACGCGTCCGAACGCGAACGCCAAACGCCGGACGCTGAAGTTCCGCGTTCTTACGTGTTCGACAAGTGCAGTGGAGATCAGGGCAGCTTTTGTCTCCACTTCACTGTCAAACGCGTCCGAACGCGAACGCCAAGCGCCGGACGCTGAAGTTCCGCGTTCTTACGTGTTCGACAAGTGCAGTGGAGATCAAGCCAGCTTTTGTCTCCACTTCACTGTCAAACGCGTCCGAACACGAACGCCAAACACCGGACGCCAAAGTTCCGCGTTCTTACGTGCTCGACAAGTGCAGTGGAGATAAGGGCAGCATTTGTCTCCACTTCACTGTCAAACGCGTCCGAACGCGAACGCCAAACGCCGGACGCAGAAGTTCCGCGTTCTTACGTGTTCGACAAGTGCAGTGGAGATCAGAGCAGGTTTTGTCTCCACTTCACTGTCAAACGCGTCCAAACGCGAACGCCAAACGCCGGACGCTGAAGTTACGCGTTCTTACGTGTTCGACAAGTGCAATGGATATAAGGGCAGCTTTTGTCTGCACTTCACTGTAAAACGCGTCCGAACGCGAACGCCAAACGTCGGACGCTGAAGTTCCGCGTTCTTACGTGTTCGACAAGTGCAGCGGAGATCAGGGCAGCTTTTGTCTCCACTTCACTGTCAAACGCGTCCGAACGCGAACGCCAAACGCCGGACGCTGAAGTTACGCGTTTTTACCTGTTCGACAAGTGCAGTGGAGATCAGAGCAGCTTTTGTCTCCACTTCACTGTCAAACGCGTCCAAACGCGAACGCCAAACGTTGGACGCTGAAGTTCCGCGTTCTTACGTGTTCGACAAGTGCAGTGGAGATCAGAGCAGCTTTTGTCTCCACTTCACTGTCAAACGCGTCCAAACGCGAACACCAAACGTCGGACGCTGAAGTTCCGCCTTCTTACGTGTTCGACAAGTGCAGTGGAGATCAGGGCAGCTTTTGTCTCCACTTCACTGTCAAACGCGTCCGAACGCGAACGCCAAACGCCGGACGCTGAAGTTACGCGTTCTTACGTGTTCGACAAGTGCAGTGGAGATCAGAGCAGCTTTTGTCTCCACTTCACTGTCAAACGCGTCCAAACGCGAACACCAAACGTCGGACGCTGAAGTTCCGCCTTCTTACGTGTTCGACAAGTGCAGTGGAGATCAGGGCAGCTTTTGTCTCCACTTCACTGTCAAACGCGTCCGAACGCGAACGCCAAACGCCGGACGTTGAAGTTACGCGTTCTTACGTGTTCGACAAGTGCAGTGGAGATCAGAGCAGCTTTTGTCTCCACTTCACTGTCAAACGCGTCCGAACGCGAACGCCAAACGTCGGACGCTGAAGTTCCGCGTTCTTACGTCTTCGACAAGTGCAGTGGAGATCAGAGCAGCTTTTGTCTCCACTTTACTGTCAAACGCGTCCAAACGCGAACGCCAAACGCCGGACGCTGAAGTTACGCGTTCTTACGTGTTCGGCAAGTGCAATGGATATAAGGGCAGCTTTTGTCTCCACTTCACTGTCAAACGCGTCCGAACGCGAACGCCAAACGTCGGACGCTGAAGTTACGCGTTATTACGTGTTCGACAAGTGCAGTGGAGATCAGGGCAGCTTTTGTCTCCACTTCACTGTCAAACGCGTCCGAACGCGAACGCCAAACGCCGGACGCTGAAGTTCCGCGCTCTTACGTGTTCGACAAGTTCAGTGGAGATCAGAGCAGCTTTTGTCTGCACTTCACTGTCAAACGCGTCCAAACGCGAACGCTAAACGCCGGACGCTGAAGTTACGCGTTCTTACGTGTTTGACAAGTGCAATGGATATAAGGGCAGCTTTTGTCTCCACTTCACTGTAAAACGCGTCCGAACGCGAACGCCAAACGTCGGACGCTGAAGTTCCCCGTTCTTACGTGTTCGACAAGTGCAGTGGAGATAAAGGCAGCTTTTGTCTCCACTTCACTGTCAAACGCGTCCGAACGCGAACGCCAAACGCCGCACGCTGAAGTTCCGCGTTATTACGTGTTCAACAAGTGCAGTGGAGATTAGGGCAGCTTTTGTCCCCACTTCACTGTCAAACGCGTCCAAACGCGACCGCCAAACGCCGAACGCTGAAGGTATGCGTTCTTACGTGTTCGACAAGTGCAATGGATATAAGGGCAGCTTTTGTCTGCACTTCACTGTCAAACGCGTCCGAACGCGAACGCCAAACGCCGGACGCTGAAGTTCCGCGTTCTTACGTGTTCGACAAGTGCAGTGGAGATCAGGGCAGCTTTTGTCTCCACTTCACTGTCAAACGCGTCCGAACGCGAACGCCAAACGCCGGACGCTGAAGTTCCCCGTTCTTACGTGTTCGACAACTGCAGTGGAGATAAGGGCAGCTTTTGTCTCCACTTCACTGTCAAACGCGTCCGAACGCGAATGCCAAACGCCGGACGCTGAAGTTCCGCGTTATTACGTGTTCGACAAGTGCAGTGGAGATCAGGGCAGCTTTTGTCTCCACTTCACTGTCAAATGCGTCCGAACGCGAACGCCAAACGCCGGACGCTGAAGTTCCGCGTTCTTACGTGTTCGACAAGTGCAGTGGAGATCAGGGCAACTTTTGTCTCCACTTCACTGTCAAACGCGTCCAAACGCGAACGCCAAGCGCCGGACGCTGAAGTTCCGCGTTCTTACGTGTTCGACAAGTGCAGTGGAGATCAAGGCAGCTTTTGTCTCCACTTCACTGTCAAACGCGTCCGAACACGAACGCCAAACACCGGACGCCAAAGTTCCGCGTTCTTACGTGTT